TGGAGATGAATAAAGAAAAGGAGAATAGTATTGTTGAGGAGGGTAGGGATTATACTTTTTCAATAGGGGAGTCCCTGAGGAGGTTATAGTACAGCAATGATTTGAAGGAAGTAAGGGAATGAGCCATGTGTTAACTGGATCAAAAGCATCCCAGACAATGGATGGGCTACTGCCAAGGCCCTGAGTGTTCCAGGAACAATAAAGAGGCCAGAGCAACTCAAATAGGGTGAACAATGGGGAAAATACCAGGATATGAGTTAGAGAGGTAACAGGGTAGAGGAGGTAGAGAGTGAGATGTGGAGATTATGTAGGACCCTATAGAATTGGCTTTTAGTTTCCTGAAATGAGATGCGATTTTAGGGTTTCAGACAAAGTGATGACATGCTTTTCTTAATTACTTGTGTGTTAATTTCTGAATGTTGTGTATCTAATAGATTATAGGGAGCAGGACAGGGGTAGGAGGCTAGTAAGGAGGCTCTTGAGTAATCTAAGTGAGAGATGATGGTGCCTTGGATCAATACAGTGGCAGTGGAGATAGTGTAGTCATATTCTGAGTGATATGGAGGGTAGAATTGACAGGATTTGCTGATAGATTGGATGTCAGGTGTTAAAGAAAGAGAGGAGTCAAGGATAACTCCCAGATTTTCACCCGAGTAACTGGGAGGATAGGGTTCCTATTTACTGAGATGGAGAAGACAGTGGGAGGAGAAGGTTTGGGAGAAAAGATCAGAAGTTTGGTTTAGGACAAGATAAATGTAAAATGCATGTAAGGTCTCTAAATAGAGATGTCAAACAAGCAGCTGGATATATGAGTCTGGAGTTCAGAGTTGCTGTCTGGCTCTAGATATAAATTTGGGAATCATCAGTGTATAGATGATGTTTAAAGCCAAGTAACTCGATGAGATCATCATGGGAGTGAGTGTAGCTAGAGGAAAGATGAAGTTCAAAGAGCACATTTTATATGAGTTAGTACAAATGGCTTGATAGCTTCTGTATTAATCATGGCCACAAATATAATTAATATTGGGTACATTCAAATTATATGAAAACATCAACTGCTTTATGGTAGTAAAGATCTTTCACTTAGAATACTGGATATTCAAATGCATCTTTTCCGTAAACAAAATGTTTAAAATTTTTATACTTTTCTATTGGAACACCTAAACTATAGGTGTAAGATTTGATTACCTTCATTGTTGGATACTTTGTAAAACCTAGGAGAACTGTGTCTTGGTTTGAAGTTGCCGGTAGAGGAAAAAGTTTTTTTAAAAATGAAAACATTATTTAATTAGTTGATACTTTTCTACTTATGTTTTGCAAAATACCTTTTATTGCTAAATTAAAAAAATTTATACTTACATGAATTTAACTAAATGTGTTTGTGTCTATCTATGCATCTACTAATCAATTTATCAATAGATAGATACTCTTAAGCGTTTTGGTAGGAATTTCTGCAAGCAAAAAACTACTTTGGAATGAGACTTCTTTCCCTGATGGTCATTAAACTTTTTCCTAAATTTAAAATCTATGGGCTTAGATATAAAACTAGCTGAGGAATTCTTCATCAAATAGGAGCTTGAATTTAGACTCCATATTAGCTACAAATGTGAAAGTGTCATTGATATTTTAATTGTGATTTAAAGGGCATGGTGGGTCATTTTTAACCTGGGAGCTCCAGGCCCTGAATATCTGGCCATTAATGATGAGTGGGCAACCTGACCTCTAAACACTTGGTTGCTTTCAATGTGATGCTGTCTGCTTCTGGTTTGCATGCCACTCCAATAAGAATTTGTGCAAGTTGGGCAGCCCAAGTGGCTCAGCGGTTTAGCACCGCCTTGGGCCCAGGGCCTGATCCTGGAGATCCCGGGTCGAGTCCCCGTCAGGCTTCCTGCGTGGAGCCTGCTTCTCCCTCTGCCTGTGTCTCTACCTCTCTGTTTCTCATGAATAAATAAATAATTAAATAAAATCTTTAAAAAAAATCGTGCAAGTTGGTAGGCCCCATGAGAAAGGGGCAGCACTGACAGAAATCTGCCCAAATTGCTGCTATTGTATTCTTTAGGACTAACAAATGTAAATGCTGTTCATTTTCAGGAGAGGCAAGAAATGACTCAGCATTCCTGAGGCCCCCCCCCCCCCCCCCCCACAGATATTAGGACCTCTCTTTCCACCTTACTGCACTGAAAATGGATGTTAACTCTGCCTGGAGAGTGGGCATTCATAATTGTCAAATATTCTTTTTGGCTAGAGAGTTTTCTTTTGCTTTCCCACTAGGGCTCAGAAGAATGAAAGATGTTTTACTCACACTCTACAGTTTTATATGAAGCTTCACTCCTTATTGACTTCCCTTATAAGCCCCTATTATCTAGAAGAACTACATACTGTAACTCCCCTTCCTGGTATGTGAAAATTAGTTCTTCAGTTGACTGGTTTGTAAATCCTTCCTAATTAGCTAGTAGATATGATGTTGATCTTATGATCTGTCATTTCATTAATTCATTTATGTTTATTGCTGTGTAACAAATCACCCCACAAACTAGTGGCTTAAAACAATAAGCATTTTTTAACTCATAGTTTCTATGGGTCAGAAATTTGGAATTTGGATCAGGGTCTCTTAGGTTACATTCAGGTATTGGCCACGGCTCTAGCTATCTGCAGGCTTGGCTGGGCTGAATTAGTGAGAGGAAATACCTAGTGCATAAGTATAAAGATTGATTTTTTTTATTAGACCATTGGACAATTCAACAATGGTAACAGGCAGGAAAGCAATGATGTTTGCTGATATAGGCATGTGGGTAGATCTGTTGTTGGAAGGATGTAGACATTGGTTTTTTTTTTTTTATTGCATCCAGTTTTTTGCTCAGTAAAATAGGAAACAAGTCTATCAGCTGATGATAACAGTGTGAGGAGAGGTATTGAGAACTTGAGACAGTGTAAAATGTCAACCTCCATGATTAAAAAAGTGCATAGACTAGAGATATTTGGTATGAATGGTAGAGAGTCAAATATTTAAAGCAAGACCAGTTGTCCTGGTTTGTGTTTTTCTCCACCATGTTTAGCATAGAGGAATGTTTGGAGCAGGCAGAAATTTGATTTAGATAATATTATAGTTTTGGAAAGCAAGAGCAGTAAAACTGTAGAGAGGCAAGGGAGTCAATAATCATTGACAATGAAATTTAAGTTGGAAAGGAAGGGAAATAAGGATGTTGAAGGGATGAAAACCACTGAAAAGATGGTAGGATCAATGGCTTAGTAACATCAATGGTATGAAAGTATGGGGTACAGAATAGAGACAGAATAGGATGAAATGATAGGACGTGTTGTCAGAGAGTAGGATGCATGCAATTGACACTAAAGAGAAGATGCAGTTATTGATAGAAACGAAGTCTAGGGTAATAACCATGGGATGACTAGGTTGTTGTGACAACAACGAGGAGTCATGGGTGATGATATAATCTGATGACAGAAATCCTAAATGGGCAGTTTTTAGGAATGAGGAAGAATTGGAAAATTGTCTGAAAGTAGCAATAAGGAGCACCAAGGACATGTTCTCTACTTCTAGACCTAGTACTGTGAGAACCAGAGGAAACTAAACATCACTAAGGCAACTGCAGTAGTGGCAGTTTCCTCAATGGAGAGCCAGGTTTCTCTTAATGCGTGAAGGGGAAAAAATGCATTCAGAAGGTAGTTGGAGAATTGACATAGGGGATTTTGCTGATGGCTGACTGAGTTTTGGAGGATAGAATGGAAGAATTTCAGAACTTGGGGAGAAATGGGAAAAGGGGACAGAATAGGTTCACAGAGGCTCACAGGGATTCAATTGCGGGCGTTACAGGCAGCCTGGGAGTGTACGGGTAGCCTGACATGGAGTAGGATAAAGGGCATGATGAAGTCTGTCGCAGTGGATCAAGGCTGATGATAGTGGTGTGGCTGTGAGTGTTATAGAGGAAGAAAGGAAAGCTCTGGGGGAGGGGTGGGCTCTCTCAAGTTCTCATGGCCAGGAACCAATGAAGTTGGATTTCCATCCTGCTCTCCTCAGCTCCAAAATAAATGTCCTTTTTCTCTACACTCCATTTAAAGTGCAGACTAAGGTCTAGCCTGAGAAGTTGTTAGGAATGTGGACTCTGAGGCCTCACTCCACATCTGTTGAATTTGAATCTGCATTTTATGATGATCTCCAGGTGCTTTCATGTTCATGGTAGAGTTTCAGCAGTACTGCTCTACACTGCATATTTTTCATCCTTTTAAAAATTAGTTGTTTCATGTCTAGTCAATGACACTTCATGGATTAAAAAAAGGAATAGGAATTTTTGCAATGAAAGCTTTCTGAAATTTTTAGACTGCACAGTTTCAAAATAAAGGTGTGCAAAAATTGGAAATGGGTACATGATTAAAAAATCCTTGTCATATTTAGTTATCTGGCAGATGAGTAATCAGATATACTGTATTATTTTCCAAAGTTTTAGGGCCATGTGAGGAGAAACCTCTGATGCATTTGAGGTTAAATTCTTCCTGGTTGGAATCTGATTATGTCACTAGTCTGATTAATAAGTAAACCAGAACTATTAGGAAAAGGAAAGGGGAGGGGTAAAAATGAGTGTTTATTCTCTTCAGTTATTATGAATCTAAGCTCTGTTGCTTGTACCAAAGAAAGGAATTATTTGTATTTATTCTTATGGCTAAGTTGCTAGCAATAAATTATGAAAAGAAAAAAAAATAACCATGTGGGATAATTGAGTGAAAAACAAATGTCAGTAAGTGTAAACAGAATAGATTCCACTAAACCTATTTGCAAAAATGTCAGAGGAGTTGAGTTGTTTTCCCTCACAATATTTGTGTTGGAATAAAGGGACTGAAGTTTAATTAAATTTCTCCATAGAGACTGGGTATTCCAGTAGATGTCACTTTGAGATTTTGCTCAATGAAGGACTGAATTCTGATTAAGTGAAGCTACATTTGTCCTCAGTAGTGGAGCACTGACGATCAACACCTCTTTTCTCCAGGTCTTCCATGCTAAACTAGCAGCAGCAACTGAGAAACACTTGCCACGGAACCAGAACTCCAGAGGCTGAATCTAGTTTTGCTTTATTCACTAACCAGGTGTGTGACCTTGAGCAAGTCCCTTAAGACCTCTAGCATATTAAGTATTGGAGACATTGCTTTGCCTGTGACATACGTTCAACAGTCAGTTCTAAAAGGCTTCTGGCTCTAAAAGCCTCTAGTTTTGTTCTATCATATTGTATGGTACATAAATAGATAGCCAGTAAAATTTAGCAAAAGGAAGAGGAACTTGGGGAATTTTGAAAACTAACAAACATTTTGCTGGGCTGGAGTCATCAGGTAACTGCACATTATTCTGGAATGAGAAATTCAAATGAGTAGTATGTTTGTCTACACTTTTAAGTCTTAGGCTTTCTTTACCTTCAATATTTAATTTATTAGGCTTAATAATGCAAGTAGTACTGACCTTTCTTGATTTGGGTCATATTTCCCAGCTATTTGAGAACAACAGATAAAAGCATATCTTCTGTATATACTATCATTTTCTTCTTTTTCTAGGGGATCTAAGATTTGGGGGAACATGTTAGACATAATCAAAATTTTTTTCTTAAGGACATCAAACTCAGATATAGAATTGGAGGGAACAGTAGGCATCCAGCTATTTAGAATTATTATTTAAAAAAATTTCACCACTAGTAATGCCTCAAAAGCAAGTTAATTTTTGTTTTGCTTATGATATACATTTTATATGGGAGGATAGACTTGTGCACGAGAGAGAATTGTAATCTGTTTGTTGATCAAATAATCAAGAATTCCTCCTCACAAAGTAATCAGTGTTTTTTTTTTTTTTTCCAGGCAGGTGTGAAATTACCTTTTGTTTAGTGGAGAAATAAATTGGAACCAGAAAGAATCTCTGTTTAATAAGAGCTTTTTTGGTATGTCCATTCAGCTGCCATGTCACGTAAGCTAATAGCTGGGTTTGTGAGGTTCAGAAAACAAGGATATCATGAGCAAAAGTGTAATGAAAAGAATACTTCTGGACATTAAAAACTTTTAGTTTTAAGGTTTGCCAAAAGGATCTTCTAAAACTGCAAATTACAGGATATTTGTGCTATAAACCATCATGATGTTTATACTTATGCCCATGTTTACTAAATATATGACAACAGTGGAGCTCAGTTAAAAACAGATTAACCACACAGGTACCAAAGAAATTACAATCAAATTACATAATTGATGACCTCAGTAAATCCAGGTTTGCTAAACCCACCTACATTTTTCTGGAGGTGGCATACCATTTTGGCTTCTATTGTTGTGAGATATAGTGGGTCATGGGTTTTAGGAAAAGTAGGGATACCTGGGTGGCTCAGGGATTAACTATCTGCCTTGGGTTTAGGTCATGATCAGGCTCCTGGGATCGAGTCTCACATCAGGTTCCTCTCAGGGAGCCTGCTTCTCCCTCCGCCTATGTCTCTGCCTCTTTCTCTGTGTCTCTCATGAAAAATAAATAAATAAAAATCTTAAAAAAAAAGACTTTAGGAAAAGTGATAGTCACATATTAAATGAACCATATTCCAATTGTTCAAATATGGTACCTGTGGTGGTGGGGGATTAAAATGGTAAATTACTTTGGCCTCATAGCCAAAACATCTGTCGTTCCTTTGTGTGTTTGCCTGTTGTTTTTCCTATATTCCTGCAGAAACTTTTATCTGAGGTTAAAATCAAATTTTCCTCCACTGTAGCTTTCACTTCTGGTAGATAGTACTCTTAGAAGGGAAAATATCTAAGAAGGGTGTTTCCATTTGACTCTGATTGTGATGAAGGTGGTAGGCATACCAGGAAGCTTGGTAAATTTATCTAGTGTTACTTTATTAACTGAATGCTTTACAATTACTCTTGCAATAAGAACTCTGTACATAATTCCTCTTCACTGTTTCCTTTTATTTTACCTCCTGGTAATTTATAAACATATGAACAAATTTTGACTTAAAGTGAGAATTTAGCAAATTTGACTGTGGCAATGTCATTAAAGAGTAGAAGACTTTATGAAAAACATTGTAACAACAGTAGGAAAATCTTTCTTTTATGCTGGTCACTGACTTACAGAAAAACTATTGTTAAGGACTCACATGTTAAAGAACAAATGAAACAAAACTAAAAAAAAATTCCTAATTATTATTATTTTTTATTTTAAGAAGAAAAAGTTAAGTTTTTTTTTTATGATAGTCACTTTTAGGAGTCAGACTGGGTAAGAGGGAGAATTTTGTGGGGGAATTTTATAGTGGGAAGATCAGAGGGAATCTGGAGGGTCAGAGCTGATGTTGCTCATACTACTATTTTTGGAAATGCTGACTTAGAATTCTTTCTTCCTTACTAAGTAGTATGGATTATTATTCAAAGTTTAAAGTGTTTCTTTGAAGAAAAACAGAATTTCCCCTAAGGAATTCTGGAAGTTTCTCTTATCCATAACTAAATAGCTAAAGTTATGAAATTTTATTTAGAAAGAAAGTGATTTTTTCCATACTTATCAGTTATTCTTTCCTTTACCATGTATTTGTTGGGCTAGTCACCAGACAAGAAATTGAAGATATAGTAATGAAGTAGGCATGCACTTATTTTTAGGAATGCTGCAAAATAGAGTATTTAAGCCAGTGTTTCTCATTTGTATCTAATAACAGTATGCATAGACAATGATAGTGTTTGCAATGTACACTGGAATAATCTGCAGGGAATTTATGATGATAATAAAATATAGGGTAGTTTGAGAGAAAATCAATATTTAATTTACTAAAAATTCAGTATTTAATTGCATAAACATCTAGGTAAAATAATATGAAAAACTTTTATAAGATTTTTAAATTATGATCTCTTCAGATTCTTGGTAATAATCCCTGATGAGAAATTATTTGGTTAAACAGCAGAGAATACTTTTTTATTGAGAGAGAGAGTGTGTGTGTGAGCAGGGAGGAGCAGGAGGAGAGAGTTCTGCACTCCATGTCCAGTGTGGATCCAGAGGCAGGGCTCAATCTCGTGACCCTGTGTTCATGACCTGAGCCAAAATCAAGAGTCAGATGCTTAACTGACTGAGTTACCTAGGTACCCCAATAACAGAAAATACTTTTAAAACACATTTTTACTATTTAAAAATTTATACCAGTTGAAATTATTATCTGAGTCTGTGTATGAGTGATAGATGTAATGTTAAAGTATAATGTAAAGAGATATAGAATGTAATCATTTTTCATATCAAATGTATTTTATTTTATTTTTTTAATAAATTAATTTTTTATTGGTGTTCAATTTACCAACATACAGAATAACACCCAGTGCTCATCCCGTCAAGTGTCCCCCTCAGTGCCCGTCACCCATTCACCCCCACCCCCCGCCCTCCTCCCCTTCCACCACCCCTAGTTCGTTTCCCAGAGTTAGGAGTCTTTATGTTCTGTCTCCCTTTCTGATATTTCCCACACATTTCTTTTCCCTTCCCTTATATTCCCTTTCACTATTATTTATATTCCCCAAATGAATGAGAACATACACTGTTTGTCCTTCTCCGATTAACTTACTTCACTCAGCTCAAATTTATTTTAAATAATAAAATATTTTTATTAATTATTAATTAAATTTTATTTAAATAAAAATATTTATTTTAAATAATATAATCAGTAGAAATACATAGGTAAAAGAGTTATCCTGTAACTTACTTGTGTACTGCTATGACAGCATATAAGTAACATCAAAGAGAAGTATCCAACATAAGTGAAGATTGGGGCCAGCCTCACTTTCAGCTTATCAGCCAGCCCTTTATAACTATAACCTTAGGCTGTTTGCTCTGCTTCATTGGTGTTTGGATCATGAACCCCTTCAGTAGCTCCTTGGGCTCTATATCCATCCATGGTGGGCAGTGGTGGGCTAGCTATTGAAGCAGATATTCAGGTAATATATTTGGCTTATATTTAGCATGTCATGGTATAACAGTGACTAGAGCTGGGTGTTGTCACTCTTGGTTTTTGCTGCCCATGATGACCAGGAGGCACACATTTAATCTTCATTCTATAGTAGCAGTCCTTTGAGGAACTTTAGAAAAAGATACTCTTGGCTAGAGGTGGTTGGCCCAGGAACTCTGACCACCCAGACTCTCCCCAGCTTATCTAAGAGCTGGTAAGAGCAATAGTCACAACACACCTGTGATTCATTTGTAGCACATTGCATGGGTACTTGCCACCAAATGCATTGTTTACTGATACAGGAGGAGAATTAAAAAAGTGTTGTGCTATGCAGTTGAAATTTAAGAAGCTACCTTTTTGGTATTTTGTAATTGAATGAATATTTGTATTTTTACAAGGTAAAAATAGGGTACAGCAAGTTCTTCCAAAATTTCATAGATTTGCAGTATATTAAGAGCTCATGCTTTTTGAAAAGAGGCAGAATGAAAGTATATCTTTGCATTGTTTTTTTGTAAATCCAATGTTGTTTTTGTCAAGTCATCAAACTACCCTTCAGGCTGGGTAAGTTCTCACTATATGGAGGCCCATCAGCTGGGCAGTCCCTGACCTTTCATAAAAACAATTACAAAATATGTGTCATCTAATATCTACTCAAGGGAAATTGAAGAAGACATGAGTGACTATCCCTCTGGACCTAGTATAGGTTGTTAGCATTTAAGAATCTACTTTCAGAAGCTCAGTGTTTTAGGCTTCTCCAGAGAAACAGAATCAATAGGATGTATTGTCTCTATCTCTATTTCTATCTCTATATTATCTGTCAAGAGATTTATTCTAAGAAATTGACTGATGTGATTGTGAAGGCTCACAAGTCCAAAATGGACAGAGTAGGCCAAGAGGTTGGATGCCCATAGAAGAGCTGATTTTTTAAAGGCCTTCCACTGTTTGGATAAGGTCCACCCACATTATAGAGGATATTCCATTTTACTCAAAATCTACTGATTGAAATGTGTTAGGTTATCTAAGAAATACTTTTCATGGCACCATACAGACATATTTCACCAAATATATTGGTGCTGTGGCCTAGCTAGGTTGACATATAA